TTCAAGAGCGGACATATCTCATTGCGGCTGGGCTGATGTCGGCATACACGAACATACTGTCCGTAGTACAGGATGCTGTTAAGTCGAGACGGAAGCCTGTCCGAGAACATGGTGCGATGCACACGTCAGCACGATTGACCCACAGGCACTCGTTTAACCAAGCTGATAATGACGATTCCGATAATTTGAATTCTCAAGTACATAAGTATTATGTAGAGAACCGACCACATTTTGACTCTGTGCCAGCAATACACTTTCCTGGAGGCAAAGACTGCCAGCCTCGAGTTGTGAGAATATACCTCTACCAGCCAAATAAGGATGATATCATCGAATTTGAAATGCGCTCATTAAGTCTTCATCTTCATAAGTGTGTGAGCGCAATACACCTAAGGGACAAATTCGATGAGACCGTTGACAGATTGGACGAGTTTCACAAGTGTAACTGGTTGCGTTTCTCTGTTGAAAGACTACCAAATCAGGGGGAATGGACTATGATGCTCAGAATTTCCGAGGACTTTGAGGTAAATTACTGTTTTTAGGATGCCTATGATATAAGTAAACAAAAACATCTGTTCGCCAGAAGGCTACCACTTAAAAGAGATTTCCTGCGTGGAGAAGGATTCATAATTCCTTCAACCCCCTTTAAGGGCTATGAACTCGACAAGCGGGCAGTTGACTTAAAACAGTCACTAGAAGTTTTATGCTATTTAAACGTACAGGAGATCATCATACTAGATCCTTTAGCTATGGCAAAAGAAGACTAGCGATCTATAATGCGCTTCAGAGACTCAAAACCTAAGCGGAGGGAGGAAAGCGCCGATCCAATGCAAAGTCTACAGGACTTCTACCACGCTAATAGAGTGCTTTGATATCGGAAGTAGGTGGCCTCTGACTCTAACAGGCCCTGATAAGCCTATAACAGTGTCGGTTAATATAGGCCGATGGTCCTTCTGTATTCATAGGCAGTATTACACCTCATGTAGAAGAATAGATTAATACTCAATTATGCAAGGCGAAAGATAAGAGAAGTTTACCAGTCAATTCATCCTAAGCTAGATATAGATATCTAGAGAATCTATAGGTTACCAATCATTGTCTCAATAAATAGTAGCAGAAATCCTTTATTAGAAAGCTAGTCTATATATAGTCTATAAAGAATGTATAGCCTTGCCTACGTTCCTACAACCATAATGAAATGCCGGCGAGCTCTAGCTAACTTACGAAATCTTGTGGGCCACTATTACTTAAACAGGACAACAGTGTCTACTACTGACCAACACCCGTTAAGATATCATATAGCATACACACAAAAAGAAGCCTTTAAGACAAAAAAAAAAAACAAATTAAGAATGAAAGAGGTAGCCATTCTTATATTCTATAATGATAGTTAAGTAAAGTAAGTAAGTTTTTTAGTATAGATTAACCCCTGGCCAATCAGGTCAGTCACCAAAGGGCGCAACCCACCTGTTGCGTTGTGCGGCCGTCGCGGATGGATAGAGCGGGGTAGAACTGTTGGGGAGATACGGCATTTGAGCCGCGCGATGCTTTTTGCTATCTCCAGCTAGCCTCAGCTTTTGGTCGTAAACTAGTAGCTAGGTAGCTAGAGCTAGTCGACCTCATCATTTTACACCGACAACTTGCTCAATTGCACTCCCCAACTCGCCACCACAAATCTAACACCAGAGATTAAGTGGCCGTTCACCATGTCAGATGCCACGAACATAGCGGGAGTTGTTGGAACTTGGGTGGCGGTTTTCATCGCCATCGTCGCCCTAGCAGCCATCCTTCCAGCTTATTTCCTCTACAAGAAGTCAATGACAGACAAAGCCCGGGCTCTTGCTCTAGTCGATGATCCTAGTCAAATATTTATTTCAACTGGCTTTCACATCCCTGGTACGAGCATCCGAGTCAACAGAATCATCGGGGTTCCGGATCTTCGCTGGTCTCCCAACCTTCGATTTCTAGAGTCCCTGCCAGATCCCAGTAAATTAGGACCGCGGAGGTCAACAACCAGTTGGGTCAACTTTGCACAGGTTATGTTGGCCAGCTTTCCTAGCATGAAGACCATCGCCGGGGAAGATGCGCTGGTGTTCAAAGACCAACAGAGTTATCTTCTTGTCCACCGCAATTGGATATTGGTGCTGGGAGTTATACATCGATATGCATTCCGACAAGACTATGGATTACCTCTTCACGTGGTCCCAGACGCGGGAATCGAGACACAAAACTGGAAACAGTCTATATCTGGACTTTCTGGCAGTGTTCTATATGGCAAAGAAATCACAGGATCTGAGGAAGTTCGGCTATTTTTCGAAATGCACTCGTTGCCAGTTGTCCTGCAGGCCTTGCCACGAATGAAAGCCAGTTCAATCCAAAACTTACTCCTGCTCATGTTAGGGTATATTTCGTGTCCAGATGGCGAATATATTATATTCAACCGTGCCCAAGATGATCATAGATCGGTTAGTGGTCGCCGGACCTTTGAAGGAAGACTTCGAATCGCCAAAGTCGTGCCAGGGGAGATTGACCGTGAGGATATGCGTATTACTAGGGATTTTAATTTAGTCCTTCCTATAGTTAAGCGCCTAGTGTTTTCTCAAAACAAAAAAGACTTTCCATCAGGGGATAACAGCACTCCGACAAATCTTGAAGAACAGGATTATCATGAGTTGGGATACTGGAAGTCCAAAAGCCAACTACATACGATGATTATCTGGATGGAACGAACAGAAGTCCAACGCATCGTACTGAGGTATCTCATGGTCGAGACAAGCCCGCTTGGTTTTCTGTATGACGCTCCCAAAGATATCTTTGTGCAAAAAGTACTTCAAGCTGCACAAATTGACAGGACGCTAAACTTAGCGAAAAGGGTTTTGAACGAACTGACTGTTACGGAGGACGGTAAGCGAAGGATTCAGTTTGCACTGGGTGCTGTTCAAGAAACTGATACCGTCGTGACATCTTGGAGCAGACACGCCATGCAGACATTCCACGCCCTCGATCAAGCTATACAAGCAGTGTGCATGACTGGCAGTTTCATGTGGAAAGCTACAGCTACTATATTCTCCTACCATGTAGGGTTCCAAGCTGCAATATGCCGAAGCATAGAGAGGTTTGGAGATGATCACAGTCTGATGGTCAGGTTCGACCTTGCAAATGCACATATAGCAATACCTGACCCGGATTACTTGGGCAATACCATCAACTATAGCTTTAACTTCGAACACGCATTTTCAAATACTGAGGTGCCGAGCAACACTATCTCTGGAGAACTTCCTCTATCCCAGGTAGCTTTTGCTGCCTTACAAGGCCACATCCGCGCAAAAATGTGGAAGATGTCCTTGAGTCCTAAAGGTCTCCTTAGCTTATGGAATGCAAGTCATGAAGCCGGGGGAATATTTCTCTTGGGCACGCGATCAACCAGGTTCCGCGTGACCTTGCCACGCAGGGCTGAATACAGAGAATCGACGTCCGTAGATTCAGAAGACGAATCGTCTACGCTCTCTGACATGTCACGCGAATCATTTTCACGCGAATCGTATGATTCGCGTGATCAGAACTCTAGCCCACACTATCAAAGACCCCAGAGAGACTATCTAAATTCGCCAATACCGAGTTTGTTTCCAGCTTCGAGTCGTCGCGACTTTCGAGATGTGGATAGAGCTCGTGCGTTGCTCAGGGAGTTAGGCCAGTCTGACAATCATGAACCGGAATATCACTGGGTTCTCGCGCCTAATAGAAGAAGGTCAATAGGATGAGTGTAGAGGCAACACCTGCTTTAGCGGTTTACAATTCAAAGGATTCTTGCATGGCCACCCCCTCCTCTCGCTTAGAGGGAGCCTATTAACCTAATTGTCTATGTTGCCTTCTCCCCTCCCCGTCTTAACCTCAGTACCTTCCCTTAAACCTATTCATATGAGACAATTGGGACCGCCTAAAGCCTTACCTAACGCACTGCAGGGCTTCCTTCCTTATATAAAGAGCGATCGCGCTCATATCTCTTTTGTTAGTGGGCAAAGGACTTCAATAGAAGCATTCCAACACGATTATACATGTTCGCATACAGTCTGGCGGTCGTCACATCATATTTTCCAAGAACCACTCCTGTACAACACCATGAACTAAGGAAACCACTCTATCTAGTACTAATGAGGCATCGATTAAGCGTTGTGCGGAGACTCTTGGATGGACATGAAGCAAATTACATCCCGCCAACCAACGAGTCTATGACACTCAACTTCGCCTCTATTATCACCAGTACAGTTGACTTTGCTAGCACGACGGCTAGGGGCATCCCTAACATCCTGACTGATGAACCGGATCGGAAATTCGATGGTTTCTTCACCCTGGACTAGACTGGAGGATGCATTTCGACGCCGTTGCCACAGACTCGACAGGGCACCTGCGTGTTTTCCAAGACAAAGCGTCTCCTCATATCCTCTATGCTCTTCTGGCTCTCACTCCAATTCTCTCTTGCTGGAAATGGTTCCTGATGAGATGCTCGACTGTGCCGGCCAGTGCCCCAACTAATATTGCAAGTGTAGCAGTGTTACTTGCAGATGGGAATCTCTTTGATTTCTTGCCCGATGACGCTGCCTGGCTGAAAACTCATGAGATTGCACTTCGGTTTGGGAGACGCGCTCTATTCCATCTGATAAATATTATATTTAAGAGAATTTATCCTTTCCGACTTAAATTGCGCTACTGTGAAAGCTATTTTCAAGTTTCTTTCATTTGAGTCATTGCCGAATCACCCTTGGAATTCGACCCGCGTCATCAGGAAAATATCAGTATACGGCTTGGAAGAAGGTATGAAAGTATTTCTTTCAAGATGACTCTTTGATTGATTTATAATAGGATGCCTATATTGACTTCTTCTAATATGAAAAAATGACCTTACCACATTTGACTTTCTCCAACAAATCAACAACACTCCCTTTACCCTCGTCTACATTACCTCAACGGCGGCATCTTGCGCTGTTTTGCCTCATTATCTGCAGTTATAGTGCCCCGGCTTCCACCTTAGCTGGCATCTTCTGATCGGGGTCTTGAAATACCCCAGAGTTGACAAAGCTGAGGGAACCCGTCGTAGGGCTTCCTTCCAAAACGTCTGGGCCCTCGAACTTGGCAGTGATCTCCTCGAGTGGGAGGCCCTTGGTCTCTACCCATGTGAAGTAGATGATCATACAGAAGACGACATCCCATGAGGCATTGATGAGATAGAACTTCCATCCGAGATCTTGCATGGCATAGCTCATAGCAAACGAAAAGATGAAGGCCATCGTAACAGACGCTGCGCGGCAAGTGGCGGCTCCAGCAGCACGAATCTTGTAGTATGAGACCTCCTGGGGATAGAGAGAAATCAAGGGTGAAACGCCAAAGGAGTAGAACCCTTGGAAAATGAAGATAAGCGCAATAGAACCGTATACGCCAGATTTGTTGTCGCTAGTAGCATACACTGCGGAATTTTCGTTAACATGCAGCTTTACGGAGCAATCGGTAGAGACCGATACTTACATTTTGTAAGCGCGCCCTCAATGAAGAGGGACACTGTCATTCCTATACCGCCCATAAGGAACTGGTTTCGCCGACCAAGTACGTTTAACAGAAAGCTGCTAACGATGGAGACTACCAAAGTGTAACAGTTGATGCTGACATTCACTTGGTTTTGTGCAATTGTGTTGGTGACGCCAACGGTATCAAGGATGGTATTGATGTAGTATCTGTGTCTGTGTTTAGTGACAACATTCCAAATTAAGTCTCTACGGACGAAACTCAAACTTACGAGATGATAATATTACCCCATGTTTGGGACATAACTCCAAAAGCCACAAGGAGGAACAGACGCTTCCGATTTCGCTTCGCAAAGTAGAGTTCCTTGAACGGATGCGAAGTATCAAGCTCAGCCTCTCGAGTAATAACGGATTTAATAGTAAGCAGGCTATTATTTGCTTCTACCTCGTCATCTTTTCCGCCTTGTAGAACCAACAAGACTTCACGTGCCTCGTCCTCTCGGCCTTTGCTGATGAGCCAACGCGGGGATTCCGGAATTAAAGGGAGCAATGCCAAGGTCACTATCGTCGGGAGGAACTGGCAAATGCTAGGTACCCGCCAAGACCACGAATTGTGAACATGTGCCGAGCCGAAGTTGATAAGACTAGATAGCAAGCTTCCGACTTTGTAGAATGTAAAGAACAGACCAATGAGTGGGCCACGCTCTCTATCCGGCAACAGCTCAGCAAGAAGCGTGGGGAAGACAGCATCCGCAAATGTCGCACCGACACCAAGAATGACTCGCGCAATGATAAACATAGCAATGTTTTGGGAGGCTGACTGGAGGACGATGCCGAGGAAAGAGATGGCCGAGGCAGCCCAAATTGCTTTCTTGCGGCCAAAGCGGTCAGGAAATGGCTGGACTAGAAGACAACCCAGCAGCTCTCCGATATTAATAGAAGCGGTGTTGAGGCCCCGAGTTGCAGTGTTCAAGTGGAAGTATTTCTTGTATTCCGGCAGCGTGTTGAGGCCACCCATCATAGAATTGTCATATCCGAGTGTCTGCAAATAGGGACATTAACGTGCCAACTCAAGAGAAATTGTCAGATGAGAGTATACATGCCGCTGAGACACCGAGGCCCGCAGTAGTGAGCAGGATGAAGAGGGCAGTAGAACTGCTCGGGCAGAACCTCGAGACATATTTGCGTTGATACGTCATCTTCAGGAAGTTGTAGGTTTGTCGTTACTCGTGTGCAGAAGACCAGCTAATCTAAAGTGAGGTGACCAAGTGAAGTCCAAGGCATGAGACGACAGAACATATTTATACATTGAACGATCAAGAAGCACTGAATTCTCCTCATCTTTGTACATGTGGTTGGATCAAGATAGGGCTCCTTCTAGGTTGGGGTACGCTAGGCGCAAAAGTTGCTAGTTGTCTGCCCTTATCAGACGCCAGTGGTAGCTTATCTGCTGTTCCGTTGAAATCCGCCCAACCCGGGAAGAGATAGCGGAGAACATCGGAGTATGGGCAGGCACAAAGGACGATCATCGGAGAATATGATTGTAGCACTGCAAGGCACACACGATAGACTCCTAGGACAAGATACTTCTGATCCTATACACCGTCAGACTAAGACCATGTCTCTGATGAAACGGATATACATTGCCGAGATAGCAGAACCCAGAGCGATTAACGGTCGGAGTCGCCAATTTTTCTCGTCGTCGTATGGCCCGGTTCCATTACATTTTCTTAATGAGGCAGATATGAGTTTCAAATACGAGCATGTAGTTACTTATCACAAGACTTTGTCCTTTCTGTTAAGAGCCGCTATCATTGGGATGAAAAAGGTTATAGACCTGGAACATATAAAGAAGTTGTAGTACCTAGATTGCATCTGAGTTAATGACTATCTCATCTAAATGAGGATTATGTCATTCGTTATACCTATTTCCCCATTTCATTCCTTTACAAATTTACCTGATAAACTCCCGTACGGGAATAGCATTGGCATCTTAGAAGAAATCAGGTCGTACAATAGCGCCACGCTTAGCCCTGCAGTATTACCGAAGAGCAATCTTCGTTTCGTGAAAGTGGTTGGGGCATCAATAGACGATGATTCGAAGCTCACTTCTATGAGTAGCTAGGTGCATCGAAAATTGAAACTGCACGCTTTTTATATCGCATTAAACTCGAATTTTGCGAAAAGCATACCAGATGCTGTACATATCATGCTAATCACGTTAGAAGTCGAACAAACCACCGGAACGGGTTCGTTGTAAAAAGTGGAGGTCGTTAAATTTTGGATACAGAGCCTGTCCAACAGCCAAGACTACTGTCTACTGTAATACTTTTCCATGATGTCAGTGATATGTCAAACTCCCAACCTTGTACCGGGCAAGTTTTCGGTAGCTATAGTGGCTGTGACAAATTGGTATCTGACGAGTAGATACCAGGTTTGGTCTCGTACAGTAAGTCAAGAGCTCCAATTGCAACGATAAGGCTCCCTTCAGAGTCGGATCTGGCGATCTGTGATAGTTGCATGTTTTCGGAGAAACGGGTGAAACTTGTAGATACTCCGAGATCGACTCGACCCCCGGAAACTACTCCGGGTCTTTAGAATTGACAGTGTGGGGTTCCGGGGAAGTCCGATGGCCCCTTGGCGGAAATCTCTTGGGCGCTACGGTGTCTCTAAGAGTCCATGCTATATATGATGACTGACAGCGTAAGTCCACATGAGCTAAATTATCCACCTTAAACAAAGTTACAGCTAAAAAAAAAGCCGTAAGTAATCTACCAAATATCGTCAACTTTGCACGATACTTTATAAGGAGCATTTAAGGAACACATTTCAACGATGGCCCCAACTGCGTTGTCAGACCTAGATTTTGCTGAAGAGCTGAAGTTCCCAGACCCAGTGTATCCCAAATACGAAGCTCTTCCTAAGTAAGTGATCTGCAACAACACCACGGGAAGTCCAAAGCTAATTCAAGAGCCCAGATCGGCTGTTTACGAAGACTTTCGGCATGATCTTCGAGAGAAAGGTTTTGTGGTGGTAAAGGGAGCCATACCCCCAGAAAGAGCAGCTCAATATGCACAGAAGGGCAGAGATTGGATCTGCTCATTTGGCACTGATCTCGACCTTGATGATCCCGAGACATGGGTACAGAAGAACCTCCCTGTCCCAACAAAAATCCGAGCTTATGGCGCTTATTGTGTCCCGCACGAGAAATTCATGTGGGATGCAAGGATGGAACCTGGTGTTCTAGACGCGTTTGCTAAGATTTGGGGTACAGACGAGTTGCTAGTCAGCTTCGGTGGTCTCAACATTGGACTACCAAACCGCAAGGATATTCAAGCCAGGAAGCCTTGGGAGCATGTCGACCAAAGTCCACACAAGCGAGGCCTTCACTGTGTTCAAGGTATCATCAATCTGTGTCACTCTGGCCCTGAGGACGGTGGGTTATGTGTTTTCCCGGGCTCTAGCCAGCTGCATGATGAGTTCTGGAGGACCCATAGGCCGACGAAAAATATCAGCGAAGAAATTAACCCTGCGAATTACATCTCAGACATCTATATGTTCTCTGAGCAGGAGATGGCCTGGTTTGCAGAGAAAGGGATAAAAGTGCAGAAGGTGTGTGCAGCACCGGGAGACTTAATCCTCTGGGACTCCCGAACTGTCCATTACGCATCAGATGCAACACCGAAGGGAAACACCATCAGAAACGCCATCTATGCGACGTACATGCCAGCAAAGTGGGCAACCCCGGAACAGATAGCTGCTAAGAAGGCCTGTTTTGAGGAATTTGGCTTTACCTTTCACTGGCCATACGAGGTTTATCCGAAAACAACCAAAGCCATCCTTCCGGATGGGACAAGGGATCCCAAAGATCGTACCCAGCCACTTGAGATGCCTGAACTAAGCGACAAGTTATTGAAGCTTGCTGGTGCCAAGTCGTACTAGCTGTCAATGTGAATATCCTCCTTCCTGACTACGATGCGTTCGAGAGCTTCGCTTCAAATTCTAGTCATTTCAAAAACATAGTGGCTGAAATCTGTAGCGTGAAGTGATGCAGATTGAAAGAAACATACAAATACAAGAATTTTGATCACGACTATTAGAAATGAAGGACGGTAACAGTCTATTGCTAGATATGAATCGTACGAACTTTGTGTGATAACACTATCCCTGCGAGTTAGGTATGTCCGTAAGCCACGAACCTGGTGTAGATCCGAGGACAGGAAATTGATCAAAAACCTTGAACTTGTCAGCCGGCATTTCACTGCAAATCTAGCTGAAGAGGGATTAGAATCTCACCAATGAGTCAATTTCAAGCCAATCTCGTGTCTGCCAATTATCCCAGAGATTATGCTGCAATTCCGCACCTTTTTCTACGTCAACAAGACCCAAACCTGATTGTGTACTGTGCCGTCGTACGTTTAAGTCTTCTTCCTCCCTTGAAGTGTCGTTCCATTCGGAGACGGGTCTATCATTTTGTTGTCTCTCGGGTATTGAATGAGAAGTAGGCGCTGCTGTTGCACGCTTCGCCTCCGCTTGAAGTTCTTTCAAGATAATGCTGTATCGCCGTCCAGGTGAGTTTGATGCCGTGGCTTTAGCTAGATGTGTTTGGCACTTTTCCGCCAGGGCGAATAGCTGCTCCTGGTAATCTTGGGTGTATAAGTTTAGACGAGATAGCCGATGCTGTATACCCCAAATGTAAACCACCGCTAGAGCACAAAATGTGATAAAATGAGTCCACCAGAGGGTTTGAAATAGCGGGTCATCGCTAGCCGTCGTGTCCACAATTTCCAGCACGAGCCTTGCAGTTGAGATGCAGTCTGATATCTGCTCATTGACGGCATCCGAAGAGTCGCTGTCTTTTCCAATATTGCCTGCAAGGAAATGGCGAGTGACATGTATGACAACGTGTGAGTAGGCTAATCTGAGCACCGTAGCCTGGCGGCGAAACGGGAGAGCTAAACTGGACGGATTGATGGCACCAAGAAAGGACGGTAGCTGTGCCTTCCACTCACGCAAATCTGACCTAACACGGTTGACAAAGGGGAACAGACGGTTGGGAGGGAGAGGTTTGGTCGAATACATGCCGTGCATGACGTGGCCCAAAATTCTAGTAATCCTGTAGAACATGATCAATCATCATGGGCATATAACAGCTTAAGTTATATACGTACTTGGCATGCAACACTAGGGCTGTCACAACGCAATCCTTCGCCCGATGCGGTGGTCTAGCTCCTTCTGGTGTCATATCCTCATCATCAACACAATCAGGAAATAGCTGATCAATGTCGTCGTCATGGTAGTGCTGTGGTCTCCCAAAAAGAACGCAAAGGTACCGATCTAGGATATAAGAGACCCAAAAGACGCGCTTCTCACATTGTGATCGGACGTAATCTAGTTGAAAATTCTTGGACGCGCTGTTTCGGGTTCGTGTCTCGTATCGGTGCAAACCCAGGGCCGTGATCATTTGCAAAGTAATGCCAAACATATACCACGCTTGGTTCATACGTGAAGTATGAAGTAAATATAGGATCTGAACCAACCTTGCTTGGACAGATTCAATGTTTGGGAAACCAGTAGCGCTCTCTACCAAGCGTATTGCTCTGGTGAAGAGCTGGTCGCTGCGGCGGATGAACAATGCCTCTCCATCGCGTGATACAGCATGTAGAGACTGGGCCTTATGGTACTTTGCAATGGCCAAAATGCCGAATACGATGGAAGTTCTGAGCTCACCGACACCATGATGATGTGGGAGACATTGTTCACTGTTTTCAAGAATTTTCAGTAACCACCGCTCGACTGTTGGCCTATGGAGGAAACGGTAAGTTGCAATGCAGACGTCGAAGTAGAATGCGTAAAGATCGAGGGCTTCGGGCCGCTCTGGAAACCATTGTTGCTCGTCAGACTTCGAGAAGACATCGAAAGGCTTGTCACCTGCCGCTATTTGCGTCTGGTTCTTTTCCCTGCCAGCGAATTCACATTGATTGACGAGAGACGGCTGTCTAAGCGTCGCTAATAATGCATTCCAAGCTCGATGAAAAAATCCCCGTCCAGAGGCGGAATCAAAAGTTTGGCCGTGAGTCCTTGGAATCGTAGACGATGCTTCGGATGTACTGGGCCATCCGCCTTGTCCTTGACTGACGCTTTCCACTGTTGTTTCCGGTACGATGGCTGTCGCCGTAGGCTCTCGTAGCCCAGCATGCGTCGTGCTTGCGGCTGGGCTCGAGTTCGGGGCTGGAACTGGTGTCGGAGGACGACCTCTACTGTAGCTGGACAAATAAAGGCATTGAAGTCTTTTGCTCACACAAGTGCGGCAAGGGTTGGTGCCGCTGCATCTGCTCTTGCGTAGCTTACACGCATCACAGGCGCGGCTGACTCGCTGGATCTTGCGGACCCTGCCGTTGTCGTTCCTACTGAGACCAAATTGTTTTGGGCTTCTCGAGCCCACACCTGATCCCGGTGCTTCTCCATTGGCGTCCTGGGAGTGTAGGGATGCGTTGGGAGACAGGTCGGGTTCCATCTTTTCCGCGGCCCCAAGCACAAAACGGATGTTTAAAACGGAGTAGTACGGAGAAACAAAGAAAGGCCAAAGCGATCGGAAAAGCGTTCGGGTGTGTTTATTAACACCAACAAAGTGATAGGCCTGCGGGGAAGATAACAGAACTCACTAGCGTCTCAGTCGGACAGATAGCGATGCTAGGTGCTTAGCCAAGAATGAGCCGAACACCCTGATCGCTGATGTCCGGCTTGCAGGACTTCAGAGCATCACCAACACGACCGAACTCAGTTGCCAGATAGTCATTGCCAAAATCCAAAAGCGTTCTTCTCCGGCTCTCTGGACGTCTCATTGATCAAACTTCCAAAACATTCCCGAAGCTGAGCGGAAAATGGGCGCGATGCGCTGAATCTATACCAAAGTCTATTGCTTCACTCCGTCAAAGACTTGAAGAACTCCCATTATGAGAAACGGACTTTGCTATTAGTCTGGTGTATTCGTTGGCGGCGTGCGTGAGTGCGACACCCAGCGGGAATGGATAGTCTGGTCACGCCAACCAGTCTTCATGATCGTGGGTTTTATTTTCTTGTATCATTGGAGAAGTCCATTGCATAAAAATCATATCACTTTCCTTGAGCAGGAAGCTTCACATCATCGCATTATGACAGCAATCAAAATCATAGATTTTAATAGGTCGAATTCCTACGATCCAGTTTGGCTTATGAATGGTCTAATATCTAAGTGTGATTTTCTGCCAGACCGCTACTTGTTATGTACCGTCTATTTCTCTTCAAAGAGTTGCGAAAACCAATCATGCTCGTAACGGAACCGTATTTTCTTCCGAGGTGTACGGCGTCTTCAAATTGTTGGTTTCAACACCTCATCGAGCCCATTTACTACGGTTCTCCAGAAGGAAGACTCGGGATATTGATTTGGCTTAGTCGCTTGCGACCTGCACTAAAGTCTCCCACTAAGGTGTGTTGGGAAAGGCGCAGAACACTAGCCGTCTGCAGACAGGGATCACCGTTCTCCCATTAAGGCTTAGCGCTAACCTCTTAAACTCCCGAAATGCTTCATTCACAATCCATCAACAACGAAAGATGGAGCGCATTGCGTGGAATCAGGGGATTCTTCAGTCATGGATACTGCACAATGACTCAAGCGCGGTGAAATTTATCTTTCCGACCGAAGGCAACAGCCAGGAGATGATCCACATGAAAGGATGAATACAAAGCTATAAGTAGACTTGATGGCCAGCTCTTTGACAATGACTTTCCGCAGCATAGCTTTGCTCTTTTCCTTCACACTCCGCCACTGAAGACATCCAAGTATGGCCCCAGATACTCTCTCCCTTCAAGGCAAAGTCGCCATCATCACTGGCTCTGGCAAAGAGACCGGCATCGGTGCCGGCATTGCAGAGGCGCTCGTCCGGAATGGAGCTTCCGTGACCATCAACTACGTCTCTGATTCCACGGCACCGAGAGCGGCCAATGTAGTGAAGAAGATCACTGCCAGCGGCGGTAAGGCAACGGCAGTCCAGGCTGACATCTCCTCACCCGACGGGGCGACTAAGTTGGTCAATGAGACCTTGAAGTCATTCAATGTCAACAAGGTCGATATCATCGGTGTGTCTTGAGTATATAGAAGCCATGTACGAAATATTGGCTACTGACTGTATGATTTAGTGAACAACGCAGGCGGTGGTGAAGGCGGCCCAATCATGAAGGCCACTCAAGCTGGTCTTGAGCGCACCTTCGGCATCATTGTGTTCGGCGGAATTTTCTTGATCCAAGCCGCGGTGCCACACATGCCTCGAGGCGGCCGCATCATCAACATTGGGTCTGTCGCTTCCAAGATGGGCATCGGTCACATTGCGGCATACTCCGCAGCCAAGGCTGCAATGGACTCATTCACTTACTCCACGGCGCACGAGGTTCGTCGACTAGTTCTTAGCATCTTGACTTGGAGAAGTAGTAAACTAACAAGACATCTCAGCTCGGTCGCGGCTATGGTATCACAATTAATACTGTCTCACCTGGGCCCGTGAAGACGGATGGGCTACCGCCCGATCAGATGCAGGCGTTCATTGACGGGATGGCACCCCTGACGAGGGCGGAGGAGCGGCCTGGAACCGTGGAAGATATTGCTGATGCGGTGTTGCTTTTGGCGTCTGAGAAGAGTCGGTGGATCACGGGGCAGCACATCTCGGTCAGTGGAGGTATCACAGGTGGCTGAAGAATGTTGTCTCACATCCGAGTCGTTGGGCTATATTGAAAGAATTGAGACGACAGTGTATTTCCTTCTCGAATAGCAGTTCAAGCACAATCGCACCTACTGAGATCGACATCAATAGTATGCGTAGATGTGACACTTGCAACAGCAGTTCACAGCAGAGACTATTTAAGCTTTGTACAACGTTGCTGGGCGTCGTCGCGATGGCGGCAAATGTGGCTGTTCAGCTGCATGTGGCGCGAACCAAGCTATCGGCGAGGAAGCAAGTATAAGGGCCCAAGGCTGAACTTGCCGTTGTTAAAGGCGCAGTGGAGTCAAGGCCTGGAAGAGCCCATGGATCTGTTTATTGATAGAGAGGCTGAATCTTACGATTCCTCAGCGGACCGTGTTGAAAAAGCAGCAACATTCATCAGTGTGATTGAAGGTATCATCGATTTCGATACATCAGCCTCGTGCTGTTTTGTGACCACATCGAACGTACCATGTCCTCCGTAATTACTCGTTAAAAATGTCTTTAGAGGAGTATGACCAGACAACGAGGGTTTCACGGTGGCTGCCACTATCCTAGGAAGAGGCTGCACGACATCGGATTATTCCGCGGGTTCCTGCATCATAAGGCTAAAGAAACATTATTTCGTATTAGGATTTCCGGGACAGATCGTTGCCGCTATGTTGGCTTCGTCAGCGACCAGGAGAACTAACCTCATTGCATATTGTAAATTGGAGCAGTATACGGTCGTAACGCGAGAACAAGCAAGTAGAAGCGTATCTAACTCCGGTGCGATGCTTTGGTAGTCCAAAGGTATTGGACTGCTGCCGATACTGCGAAGGTGCGCGGCCAACAAAGCGACTGCAGCCATATATAAAGCAGGGAGCTGCAGCGATGTTGCTCGAAATGTCGAGGTTTTGTTCAATGCCAATCTTTCCTATTCTTTACTTTCTCTTGGGTTCATAGTTGCTTTCATCATGAAACTCTGGGGTTGCGTTATCGTATGCGTGGGAAGCGTGTACATAACACAGGTGTTTGGTTACCCAGGAATGGGCAAAGCGTTGTCTGAGCTCAGACTACGACAAGGCGACGGCGGCGACTCGACAGAAGTTACCGGAGACCTAGCCACACTGCCAGATGATCAACTCACGCCTGTCGGCAAGCAGGTCAAGAGTATGATGGTCGGTGACGGCGAGCCCGAGAGTTCAGAGAAGTGGACCAGCTATCCCAAGAAGGACACGCCGCAATGTGCCGCCGACACATGCTGTATCTGGCAGTACGTCGCCAACGACATGCAGAAGGTATTCCGTGGCAAGTCCGGCCGTTGCACGGCTTTGGCCCGCGGCGCCGTCCGCCTTGGCTTCCACGATGCCGCTGGCTGGTCCAAGGCCACTGCGCCGGGAGGTGGTGCAGACGGCTCGATCATCCTGGCGCCGGCGGAGATGCAGAGAAAGGAGAACAAGGGTCTCGAGGAAATCGTGGCGCAGATGCAGACTTGGTACAGTCAATATCACCCGTATGGCGTCTCGATGGCGGACCTGATTCAGATGGGCGCAACCGTCGCGACAGTCGTCTGTCCCCTTGGTCCCCGGATTCGATCGTATGTGGGCCGGCCAGACAGCACCGCCGCGTGCCCCGACGGGCTTCTCCCGCCAGTCACCGGCAGCGCGGACTTCTTGATAGAGATGTTTGAGAACAAGACCATCCGGCCGCATGGATTGACGGCACTGATTGGAGCGCACACCACAAGCCAGCAGCGCTTCGTGGACCCCGCTCGCGCAGGCGATCCGCAAGACAGCACGCCGGGCGTGTGGGATGTGCTCTTTTACAAGCAAACCCTTGGCAATCCACCGAAGCGCGTGCTCAAGTTCCAGAGCGATGTCGTCCTCTCTCAAGATCCGCGCATCAGCGAGGAGTTTCAGGAGTTTGCTGGGCAGGGCGGGCAGAAGCACTGGAACGAGGTATGTCGCCCTCGCCTGCCGTGTTCGACCACGAGGCTAACGCTCTTTCACACAGGACTATGCACGGGAATATATTCGTATGAGCCTCTTGGGTGTCTACAACATCAATAACCTCACGGAGTGCACCAAGGTCCTTCCTGCCTCGACAGCTACATACAGTGCACCTGACCAAGCTCTTCTCGACATTTGGCTAAAGTCCACTAAGAATATCAAAGAGATTGCCAAAGCACTGCGGAACGGCGACTTGCTCACGGCACTGGCGAGCTTGCTTGTGGGTTTGTTGTAATTTGTGTCAAGCTCCGTTGGGGAGCGCATGTATTTCGTTAGGTCATAACTATGGACAAAGGAGATATCGTACAGGTCATTCATTGGGGGGTTGTTGTTGTTGTTGCTATTGTAGTAAGAGTGTCGTCTCTCATCATTCGTGAGCCCATCAGACCAAAGCCCATCCATCCGAGGCGCATACGGCACGCATGTTTTGCTCGCCTATGGGCCATAGAGCCAGGAACTTGATGGCGCGATAGTTGCAGTTACGGTTGCGATCAAGATAACATGACCGCATGTCTTCTGGCCCACGCGTGCGCCCAGTCTCTCCCCTTCGTGCTGGGCTATGCCAGTGTTAGTACTAAACTGGTCCATATGGCATGTCAGTAGAGACTCACGAGCAAAGACCGCTCGGCAGTGTGCCCATTCCTGGCGCTTCGGTTGGTCGTGGCCATTGCCCCCTTCTGCGACGAACGAGAGCGTCCAGATTTGACGAGCTGCAAGCTTTCGGTGGCGGATTTCACGGCGCCATCTGTGTACCCCAAGGCGGCCACAGCTACCGCGGGTAGAAGGAAGAGGGAGTAGAGTAGTGCGAGTAGTAGCATGCTGCTGGTGTGTTGTTTGTCGCCTCTGAAGCGAGGACGAAGCTGACTTCAAAAGGGAGAGAGAACCACCCAACGAACTTACCTGAGAGGAAACGACGTTTTATTTATTCTTCGCCACGCCTTGCTTGTTTGTTATGTTGAACGCCGTCTCGATACGAGTGCCTGGCAACGGGCCGCGTTTGGGGCAATCTCGCGTATTTAATCTCGAAGACGAAGCTATTGAGCAAGGCGAGATGAGTTCATCCGGTTGGCATGGCATCCCCCGAAAGTCCTGGGCTGTTCTTGGTATTAGGCGGGGCAGGTCAATTTTAAGTTGCGCTACGGCGGATCTTGCAGCGGGTGGTTTGTGGGGAGATCTCACCCCGCCTAACCGCTCTCAGCCGCCACGCCGCCTACCCATTCGCCTGGAACAGCTCTGGACCCCGGCCTATAGTGGCCTGTGGAAGGATTGCTCATGCGCTATGGGTTAGGGGTCCCAGGCTGCGAGGTGCTGAAAGGACACCTGTCCAGTACCTGGGTATGGCATTGTCTGTTTCGTTTCACTTCTAGAAGCACCTGGATGATCGTGGCACCTTTCTTCCAATTCAAATGTCTCCCTCGGTCTCCCTCAGTGCCCTCTGAACTAGTTGAGCGGGTATGGTTTTGCAAGCATCGTGAGGCAGGAGCTGTTAGCAACGAAGACGGAAGCTACGGCTGGCGTTGACTCCATTTCGTTCAGGTAAGGAAGGCACAGTACGAAGGTTGTCTCGCTCAAGGCAACCTTGGAAGTCCGAGCTGTATTAGACGAGTTTGAGGCGATGCGTCGTCTGTAGCTCCTTCTTTTTTTAAACATCTCCAAAGCAGTCATCAAGTGATGTTTCTTAAGATCGCGACTTCCTTTCGTGTCCAAGGGAGGCCGTCCTTGCTGGTTTGTTGACATCTCCTCTCTCGCTCCCGATCGTTGCCTTTCTCTTCTCTCTTCCTCTATCATAGACACATACACACTCTCGCCTTTGGACAACACTCGTTATCTCCAACCAGCAGTGCTAGCAACGGCTGAGCTTGCACAATCATTCCCAGATATCATCAATTTTGTTGCTCCGTCTCCATCACTCATCCAAGCATCCATTCCTTCACTCAAGCGGCGAGCAACACAACCACAGCCACAGCCACTGTCACCACCACCACCAGCATCATCATCATGGCGAACGCTCGGCTCTCGAACCGACCATCTTCCTCCGACCCGACCCGATAGAGCGGGCGCCTTGCCAGTGCGAACGATGACATTGAGCTTGGAGCCGTCCCTGGTGGCCATTCCGGCAGGGTGATCGCTGAAGCTTACCCACCCGACGACCTGGCTCAGGCAGAAGTAGCAGGCGAATACGACCCAACCCAGCTTATTCCCTTCCTCTACCGTGCGATTGAGGGTTGCATTCCTCATGCCCGAGGGCGAGTTGGCCGGGTCGTCCGAGCCATCATGGTCAAAATTATGCAAATTTGCATGATGATCTTCGTGACCGTGTTCTGCCTTATGGCTATCATGTCCGGAGTCTTCATCTTCTTCAAGATACTGTGGCTCCTGTGGTTTCTCACAAGTGGCGTGATCGAGTTCCTGAACACGATCTGGATGGCGATGTCTTTGGCAGCTGCCCCATAACGCACTTCACGACGAAGCGAGAAGCGGAAGCTGGACTGTGGCTGACGGAAATTGTGTTGGAAGAAGCAAAGTAGCGCGTTCGTTTGTGATGACTGTATGTTCTCATTCATTCATCTCCCCAGGAGGCACTCCGGGTAGGCCAGGGAGCTAGTAGTGCGAAGGAAGCGTTGGCTTACCATGTTCTGGCAAAGGCCTGCCGTTGTAAGTTGCCGTTCGAGTATGTTTTTGCCGTCAAAGTCGGTAGTTGCGAGAACTCTTGTTGGTATTCATAGTGGATTTGTAGATGGAGGGTGCGTATGGGTTTTCGTTCACTCCAGATTCCCCCCTTCACCAGGCTGAACCAGCCACCCTAGGCAATGGGGGAAAAGAGGAGACTTACCAGCGATGTTGTTGATCTTCTTCAGTGCCAGACCCACGCCGTGCAATAAATAAAAAACACATTGAACTCACCTCGAAGGAATGTTGATGATGTCAGTGACTATAGCAAGAGATGGTCCCAACCCAAGCTGCGTGTCAGCGACTTCAACAGTTTGATATACGACATACCTGACATGAACAATCGTCACGGCCCTCAACCACCGACCGGCTGCACCCACTTTCGCAAGTGCGCCCGAAGCCAATCAGGGGACGCATCAAACAGAACTCCCGCTTGCGCCGACGGAGACCTACGCGTTGATCCCCCGTGGCCCACAATGCCGCCACGCAAACCCCAGCCGACGCCGCTAGAAGCCGCACGTCGCTTTCCGCAAGACAGGGGAGAGCCTTTCTGGAACACTAATCCGCCGTTATTGAGGCCTCATCCGGAGAAGAGCCCTCGCAGGTGGGGGACCGTACCGCGCTTTTCCCCTGATGTTCCCGCGGGCCAGGGCGGACGACACACGCAATCGAGCTTCCCTCTCCACAAAATCGGCCGAACTGCAAGCTGCGCTGCTGGCAGGACAGCAGGCAGTTGACGAGGAGGCCGTCCCGTCGCCGGCGAGAGCTGAGCTGCGAGTTGAGGCCCGCTCACGCGTGAACCCCTGTGATGGAAAAAACTCGAGGCCACGTTGGACCAAAGAGCCCAGCTCGCGCCGACGGCGAGCCCGTGGTCCGATTCGGATTGACCCAAAGCGGACTTCGGGACCGGCCCCCCGCGTCCACCCTTCCGACAGAGGTGACGACGATCTATGGAGGTAAACTACCCTTTCGGCGTCGACATTCCGCCACTCGAGTTGTGGGGTTCGAGTGGATGGCCCGGCGCCGGACGTTGGAAGGGGATTGACAGCCCCCTCCGTGTCCTACAGTTTCGGTTGCGGAGACGTTCCCATAAGGTATAGTGGTGCAGTCAAGACGCTACAGGGAACTACCGGTAACTGATTCCACCATTGTCGCCCCCCCGGAGGGTTAGGAGGCCATCCCGAGGTCCAGAACACCGTGGGGTGTTCTGAACTCGCCTACTCAGTCTTGGTAACACTCTGATTGAGGCAGGTCGGTGGTGTGATGACTCGATGCTCGTCGACAGAGGCGCCAAATCGTGCTTGTGCAAGTGAGTGCTGGGTGAGCTCGAGAGCTCCGTGTTGTCTAGAGCTGGCGAAGCTAAGGGTCAGCTATTGGCGGTACGCGAGAAATGAAGAAGGGGACAGTGTGTAATGAGCTGAAACGACGGTGATGGGAGGAGTCGCCGGGTTTGGGGAATGAGGGTGAGTGTTTGGGCTAGGAGTCCATACGTAGGCGGCAATAAACAAACGGGAAACACGCACCTGAATGGAAAGTGAGATGGGATGAATGGAGAATGAGTGAACTTTTGTCTATGGCACGTTAGCATCTCTTTGGCTACACCAGATTTCGTTCAAGATGAAACGGTTGGCAGGCATATGGGTTGGCACTGAAGAATTTTGGAAGATTGGTTTGTGAAATCGCAGACGAGGACGCGTTCCGTCCCTCAGGTGACGAACTTTGGTGGCGGTGGTGTTCGACGCGTAGCGTGAGGTTATGAGCGACTGGAAACGATCAGTGACGGTTTAAGGTGATTTTTTCCGCCTGGAAAGATGGTGACTGCTGAGAGAAAATAAAATAGTGATGATTATGCACTAAAACTGGAGAAGAGAGCGGCGCGTCGTGATACTTCGGCCCAAAGATGGCAGGTGGGTGTTTATGGTGAACCTCTTAGGAGAGAACAGTCGCAAAATCTAAGGTTGGGCGTCGTTAAAAGAAGTTGAGGAAATAAGAGTAGAAGACGGTAAAGTTATGACGCAAGGGAAAGTGGCATGCTGGTGACTGAGAGACCAGAATAAAAGAGGAGAAAGAGGGCGGGAAGAGGGAGGGCAGCGTTAAGAACGGACACGAGGAGGAGGAGCTATTTGAGTGATATTGCTGTGAGAAAGGGTGAGTGAAATGGGTAGCAAGAGACGAAATCCGCGAGGTAGGTTAGTGATATATTTTTACATCTCACCGCTCGTTTGAGAATGGGACGCAGAAGTGTGATGAAAAATTCTCGGAGAAGGGCCAGAAATAAAAAAGACCGAGGAAGCTCAAGTTGCCAAGGCGGTGTTGTTGGTTCGGTGCCAGCGAGGAATAATTAAAGTCGGATCGAAGCTTCACACGTCTCAAAATTAGTCACCTGATTTTAGTTGACCCGCTTAAGGAAGAATGAGGCATCGATCAATATTTCAAACGGCAAACAAGGCGTGAAGTTCAATGGCGATGCACAGTAACGATGTAATTTAGCAAGACCTATCTCATACTCTTAGAACAGGCCCCCATGAACTATATATCCCAAGCTGTCGCAGTTTCAGTTTGGAGTAAGTGGAGGGTCTTCTATCTAGCATGTTAAGCGCCCTTACTCGTGACTTAAACCAATCCCAGGGACGACACACAAGGCAAAGTAGACCCTCCTTGCGATATTTTTTCGTAGACTGCAACTCCCAGGTAGCGCCATGTTGGCGTTTGTATATCTCCAGCAGCAACGAAAAAGCTTCATACATGCGTCTTGGTGAATAGGCGCACTCCCAATGTTCTGGTATGGGTCCGGTGAACATCTGGTTTAGCTCCGCTACCAACCGAGATGTTGATTCATAGGAACGTGGGCGAGGCAAGGAATTTGGGTCATCCAATAATTTGTTCCAAAGTTCTCCCACTTCGGACTTCGATACGAAGTCAAAGAGCATGACGCCCGCGTCTTTGTACAGTTGGTGGATCAGGACATCCCTTCCCATCCATAGACATTCTGTTGGAAGAAATATCAGTTTCTTTACAGGCTGTGGATTCGAGGTGATCACGAGGTTGAGTAGAAGACAGACCATTGATGTCCAGTTTTTCGAGGTATGAGAACTTGGATTGTTCCAGTTGTATCCACCTTCCTTCGGCATCACGCTTCTCGAGACGGCGCACGCCATCACCATTGAATTCTCCTGGCACGTTGTCGCAGGCTCCACCCCATATCAACGTCCATGCAGCACATTCGAATCCTTCTTGGGATCCCAACTGGGCACTTGATCATATATGTGCAGCAGCGTCCTCGATGTCATCGAGACATTTGGGATTGGAGTGCACCTGGTCAAACCACGTCTTCGCAAACGGCACGAGGAGTTGCATCATGTCGTACTTTTCTGCTATAACGGTGATGTTGAGGAGGAGTTATACAGTCATCGCGGTTGGAAGGTGAGAGAACTAGAGTGATGTGGAATGAGGTTATAAAACCCGGGGGTGAGGCTCACGGCAATAGTTGGTGAGAAAGAAAGGATGGACAAATATAAACAAGGAAATTCGCGCGTTGAGGACGAGGAAAGTGAGATTGGTGACGTGTTGCCCTTAAAAAGGTGTGAGTTGACTGTCCGGGAAGGCACGCTAACGCACTGGCGTAGCTTTCTATGACTGTGATGGGTCTCGTGATAGACACAAAGCAGCGTCTTATCTCCAAACATCTACTTTAGACAATTACCTTATTTTTGTGTCTTCTTTTGGGCAAACGTTGTCTGTCTGTTGTCTACCAGGTAGGCTCCCCAGGTCCATCACACATGTCTCTAGTAGGTATGCGGCTCTTATTCTGAGGTAGCCAGCTGTCTTCCATCTGGAGGCTCATGAGACCACGCCCTTATGCGACCCCTACTTGCGACCTTGACTAACAATAATAATGAAATACCGCTTTGCCACGATTTTAGAGCATATGCAGTAGAACGTCAAGACATTGTCAGACTCGAGTTATCTTCATCAACTTCATTGAATGTCTCTTTAGATTAAATTCATCCTATTTCCTTGTGTTTCATTTATTGCTGAAAACCTTAGAATCGACTGAGTACATGTGGTATACCAAGAAATCTAGACGTCGTTTGTCAGTAATGTTGACATAAAGTTTGTGGCTGGCTGTATCACAGCCCCTTATCCATGCTAAGCCACATGCAGCTAACATACACCCGGTGACTCAGGCCGCAACTTCTTGTGCACATTCGCAGCCTCTGATCCAGCAGCCCCAGTTCAGATATGTAGGGCAATATTATGGACTTAGATGCATATAAGAGTCTGTCAATTATCTCAAGAAAGAAGATGCAAGGCACTTGATGCGCACTCTCACTGCTTACGAGTTCGATCCACTCATAAAGCAGCCCCGCCATCAATTGCTTTTCATCGAACTCTAGTACTTCATCCCTAAAGCATGTCGGGCATTGACCCATTGAGATCCGACATCGTCGCCTTCATGGCCAAGGCGTCAAAAGAGCTTGGCAGCGACCTCCCCGCACCGAAAGACGTCTTCGGCTTTGGCGGCAGCAACCCCACACTGACAGACAAGCTTCTTCAATTTGCAATTGATGGGAAGAAAACAGCAACGACGTCCTGGCCAATTCCTGATCCGCTGTACTGGGGACCAGGTGATCTGTCAGTCATCATGAACGGGAAAGGGGAGCCAGGCGCCATCATGCGGACACTCTCATTCGTCAAGTGCAAGTTCAAGGACGTTGCGGAGGACTTTGCGCTGGCCGAGGCGGAGGGAGATTATGAGAGCTATCGCACGGGGCATATCTGGTTCTATGGGCAGCAGGAGAATGGCCATGAATTCGGTGATGAGAGTATGGTGCTATGCGAGACATTCGAGGTCATCTACCCGAAGATGGACGCTGACAAATCATAACATTGTGTTTTGACACATCGCACCGTGGTTTCATAGGCAAGACACATCCCCAATCAAGCAATTTCGTCAAACGGTATCAATAAAATATCTCTGAGATGGGAATAAGACGAGTTGATTACTTCAGAAACGGGGGGAATGCAAGCCATGGAATCAACTCCACCTCAGCAGGACCAGCCAACAATTGTGAGCATAAATAAGCCATGCTCAGCCTCAGTTCTAGCAGCGTTGTAGTGCTAATTGAACTATTTGCGTCAATGTTGAGATACGGCTGCGAGAAACTTCCAGATCCGGACATATGCTGCGAGCCGAGTACCGAGTAGCGTCATCAGATACCGGTATCTGAATGGATTACCACGCAGCATTCCATTGGCCGAGCATGTCTGAATAGCTCCCAGATTTCAATCCTTCGGAAACAGAATGAAAGCCGAGACTTGCAGATGTTCCAGTCTCCGGAATTAAGGAATCAAGCTCAGCATGGGGGTGCCAATGACATCTCGTGAGTTCCGTATTTATTGCAGATCAGCACCGCCATGTCAGCAAGACTGCTTTTACAGCTTACCAGCATACGCTTTACGGCCCACAGCTCAAGCATCAAATAGTATTCTTGGCCGCCCTTGAAAGTTCCTGCATTCAGGCAGGGTGACGTGTATCATTTTGGGCTTAGCAGCACGGTACTTTTTAGCATGTAGCAGCTGCCTCCCGAGAGCTGAAGTTGGCTCGGTTCCATTTTCTTAAGAATGTCGTCCCCCAACGTGTCCAGGCAGAGCACACACCTGTTGTCGTCCTAGGTCGTGGAAAGTTTGACAATCATGCCTCGGGTATTCGTTTCACTCAATGAGGGTTTAGTCATCTTAGCTTCGTGTATGCTCCTAGTCGTCGCTTATCATGTTCTCGTTGCCATCTACAACATCACCCTCCATCCACTGGCCAAAATACCTGGATATAGGCTCGCCGGCGCCACAAAACTATACCAGACATATTGGTGTTACTCCCCGAAGGGCAGCATCTACTATCGTAAAGTCCATCAGATGCACATGAAATTTGGCCCAATTGTCCGAGTCGCTCCCAACGAGGTATCACTCAGCGACGGCGAAGATTTTGAGCGTATTTATAACGTCCGTACCCGCTACACCAAAGACCTCGGCTTCTACAACGCGATGGGCGTGTTTCATGGCATGTTTGGTGCGGGGGACAATGAGCGTCACCGACAGCTGAGGGCTCCATGGGCAGGATACTTTTCTAATGCTGCTGTTGATGGTCTTGATGGTTTCATACGGTCTAAAGTCGACCTAGTGTGCACAAAGGCAGACTTAGAGTGGAAAGAGACGGGAGTCATACCAATCCAGGGCTTGTTTCACGCGCTCATGATTGACATCATTTCTGAATACACCTTGCCAAAAGGTGCCGGGCTTCTCGAGAGCCGCCCATATGGCGATGCATACGCTTCAAACATGTTTAAAGGGGCTGTGGGGATTTGGCTCAAGATGTCAAGCCCTATCTTGGGTTGGCTGCTTCAACACATTGTCGCATACTTGTGTCATAACGGATACAGATATGACGAGTTTTTCAACTTGTTCATGGTAATGCGAGCTCTTTTATATGCCCTAGGGTGATACTGACCACACTAGAATTGTGACACAATTATTTCTCGGATTTTAACAGATGCGTCAGACCAAACCAAAAACACGGATTCTAAGTGTTCTCCTCTATCCATCATTGAGGATGTTGTCACCAAGAAGGCTGTAGGCAAATTAACAACGTATGACCTCGCAAACAAAGCGATACTCAAAGATGAAGCCTATACGTTCAACACTGCTGCAGCTTTCAATGCTGGAGGCTCGATATCTGTAACAATATACCATATCGTCTCCAACCCTACCATATATGCGCGAGTACGTGCCGAGATACTGGACGAATTCCAGAATGATGATAAACCGAGATTCTCGGATCTAAGAAGATTACCATCTCTGGTGCGTTATTGAATGTGGCAGCTAGAGTGTCTGCTAACCCTCGATGGTAGTCGGCTTGTATCAATGAAGGATTGAGATTAGCATACGGGGCAATTGGAAGGCTTCCAAGAGTCGTTCCGGAGCCAGGAGATACATTTCATGGCCATCATCTCCCCACTGGCGTAAGTCGTGCCCGCGTTGTCTGAGGACAGATTGCTGACTATCCTGGTAGACTGTTGTAGGGGTGTGGACATATGTTCTCCATCACAATGCCGCGATCTGGGGCCCAGACCATGAGATGTTCGACCCTAATAGGTGGCTTGGCGATGGAAGACTTCAACACCTCAACAGATATTTGAATACGTTTGGAAAGGACAATCGCCAGTGCTTCGCAAAAGAGTTGGTTTAACATCACCCTTTCATGATTCAAGTACTAATGCCTGATAGTTTGAGCCTCGCTACAATGTACCTCGTTTTAGCATCTCTACTACGGACGTATTCTGATCTTATTGTTGATGAAGAATACCCGGCCGCGGATCTCTGTGACCATTTTGCATCCGTTGTCCCGCTTGATAGATCGAAGCTAACTCTCTGTCGATCCCACTGAAATAGAATCACGAAGTATAGCCAAAAGCGTACTTCGCATTGTGCTGATGTGTATGCAGTCTAGAGTCTGATTGAACTTTGTCAACCGAGTAGTTGCTCAATTTGGCATCTCACGCTGGCGCTTTCTACAAAATGGACAATTTCATAGAATTGTTATTGCAAGATTCCAAAACCACTATAAGCCGCTGGGTTGGACCGACTGTTGTGATAAAATGTGAGATATCGGCAAGCGAAAGAAGGAGGTTTCTGCTCAACGTCTTAAGCTATTTCTTGAATTGGTTACCAGATTTCATCTGCATTAAGTATAACTGGTATGAAATAAGCGAGGCTATCGGGGACGGGAATCATTCATATAATGACGCAAAGCACGATTAGATGGAGCCAGCGAATATTGCCCCTGTTTTCTCTCGGCCTCCCCCCCCAAATGTCTCCACCACCACAGCTTTTTGGTCCGGGTGCATCCTGTATTTCTTTCATCGTTGGATTATTACTGCATATGCAAAATAGAATTCTTTCTTGACGAGACTTGGCAAGACAAAGAGTTTAACATGGTACAGCTGAATCTCTAGAGATGCGTAAAGGCTCGGATCTGTGATAACCCCCACGCTAGTGGAACGCGTGTAAATGGGGTCTTATTTGACGAATCTTTCCGGAACTGCAATATTCTATTGCGCCATTTTGATTTCCACAGTCAACGCACGATCCAACAACGTTAAGCGGTAGCATGGAGCGGCTCATGAATATGAGCACGTCTTCAGATTTGCAGCTGATGTCATCCCACCACCAAGATTCGGCCACATAGAAACTCAATCTAAGCCCAACAAATTTCCAGCTTCTGTACAGTTCTTCTCCGTACAGTTGAGTACTCGTTTAAAATTTTGACTTATACGAAAGTCATAGCAAATAGTAACGCTGGCAACATGGCTGTCAAAATTGTAAGCGACACTGAGCTCAGCGCGATTACGAATAGTTCGCCAACAGCGCCAGACAAGGTTAATGATCAAATTTCTACGGCGACAGATGATCAACTCGTCGACGATGTTGACCCAAAAGAGGAGAGGCAATTTGTATGTTAACCCATAACTTCCTTGATACGACTTCTGACTTTATAGCTTTGGCGCCTTGATCTTGGATTCTTGCTTATCGGATTTTTGGGCTATATGTTCAAGTACCTTGATCAAACTAACATTGTCCGTGATATCTATCTGCCACGAGAAGGAGATACTAATTTATTGAATAGAGCAATGCTTACGTCTCTGGCATGAAAGAAGACCTTTCCCTATACGGCGACGAGCTCAATTACTTCACCACTTTCTTCAAGTAAGTTCCTCAATCCAGCCTTACCAACCAGTCTTTGCGTTGGCTGAATATCCCTAGCATCGGATACATGATTATGCTTTACCCATCCTGCATCATAATATCTCATATTGGACCCTCTCAATGGCTGCCCGCATGCGAGGTAAGTTGTGCACTCCTGAAGTCTAGTTGACATCATGAATCTAATTATAGTTGCAGGTCATGTGGGGTATATTCACTTGCTGCTTGTCTACAGTCAAAAGCGCGCGTCAGGTAACGAAAAGCTTTTCCCCGGAGCGGTTGGCGCTTTTTCGAGCATTTACTAAACATAGCAATCAAGGTATACGGTCTTCGTTTCCTCATCGGCTTTTTTGAAGGAACCGCATGGCCAGGTTACTTCACCATGATTAGGTATGCTCTAACGGCGCTATCGTCTTCACGTGCATTACGCCACATCTACTGACCATTCAGTCAATGGTACTTACCTCATGAAGTCGCCCTACGAATGAGTCTCTATAATATCGCACAACCGACTGGAGCCATGCTATCAGGCGCAATGCAAGGCGCACTTTCTACCAACTTGGAAGGCGTGCTTGGCCGTAGCGGCTGGCGATGGGCGTTCCTAATCAATGTTAGTGGCTATATTACTAGAATATGTTGATACGCAGCTAACAAAGCAGGGCGTGTGCACCATTGGGGTTGCTCTAGGAGGTTTCTTTTTGCTTCCTGGCTATGTGGGTGACAAGATATTGATTCATATCGCACCTTTGCTCGTGCGCTGATAGCAATCTTCCACAGCCTGAGCGTCAAAACCCATTGTCCAAATTCTATATGAAACCGAGACATATTGGTAATTGTTAAGGTTGCATAGCCGGAGAAAACCACGTCATGCTAAAGGTTGCCAGAAATTGCTCGGGCACGCGCCCGTCGTGTCAATCGAAAACCTCAGATCGGTATTACTGTGAAAAGCTTTCTTCGATGCTTTACTTTTTGGCAGATTTGGGCCATTGCTCGTAAGCGATCCTAAGCTCGTGCTTCCCATTCATGCGCAGGGCTCTTATAAAGATTACAGTTTCGTGGCCAATCGCTAGCAACACCACTCCGACAAACTACTTCAACCTTTGGCTGAAGTCTTTGAATAATCCCGAT